GGGAAGGTGGCTCAGTGGTAAAGTGCTTGCCTTGCATGCATGAGGCCCTGGGTTCAATTCCTCAGCACTACATAAGCGGAAAAAGCCAGAAGTGGGTCAAGTGGTAGAGTTCTAGCCTTGAGCTGAAGAGCTGAGGGATAGTGCCCAGGCCCAGAGTTTAGATCCCACGACCGGACCCCCAAAAAAAGTTTATATGGTTTACATTATGATCTATTCTTATCCACAACAAGCTTCCTAAGAAAGATCATGCTTGCAGAGAGACAGGTCATTTCACTCCACTTTGTACTTCAACATTTGGATTCATCTAATCATTGTTCAACTTTTCTGCTGAAATTAATAATTAGACTGTCCTCTAGAGGCCACTTGTAACACAAGGAACAAGGTTCAAACATTTGTTCTTTTCATAGTTGATCAAATCCTACACCCTACTTGGATCTCAATACTCTCACCATTAAAATTAAGGTATTTAGATGGTAACTCCTCCTAGCCTTTTCTGCATGAGCTATTATTTGGATAGGATCTCATGCATTTGTTCAGGATACCTGAATGTTGAATCTCCTATTTATGACTCCTGTGTACCTGACAGGTATATCTAACAAGTTTGAAGCCCACATTTCAAAACCCAGGACAACTACAAAAAATGGAGGGCCATAGTATTGAAAATGGCTTGGTACTGGCACAAAAAAAGGCCTGAGGACCAAGGAAAAGAAGACCCAGAAATAAATCCACAGACCTACAGCCATCTAATTTGATAAAGGAGCCAAAAACATAGGCTAGAAGAAAGAGAGCTTCTTCAACAAATGGTGCTGCCAAAACTGGTATCCACATGCAAAAACACTGAAACTGGATCGCCATCTCTCACCTTGCACCATTATTGATTCAAAATGGATCAAAGACCTCAATGTAAGTCCTGAAACAATTAAATATTACAGGAAGGAATACAGGAAACATTAGAACTCCTCAGCAGAGGCAGAAATGTTCTGAGTAAAGATCCACAAGCACAACAAATCAAAGAAAAAACAATTGTGATTTCATCAAACTAAAAAGTTTCTGCAATGCAAAGGACATAGTTACCAAAAAATAACTTAGAGACTGGGAAACAATATTGCCACCTATCCATCAGAAAGAGGCCTCATATGTAGAATAGACAGAGAGCTTAAGAAACTAAATTCTCAAGTGGACACTGATAGCTCATGCCTGTAATCCTAGCTCAGGAGGCTGAGATCTGAGGATCACAGTCCAAAGCCGGCCCAGGTAAGAAAGTGTGTGAGACTCTTTTGTGTTGTTGTTGTTGTTGTTGGAAGTGCCCCTTGAGCCACAGAACCACTTCCAGTTTTCTGGTGGTTAATTGGAGATAAGAGTCTAATGGAATTTCCTTACCTGGGCTGGCTTTGAACCATGATCCTCAGATCTCAGCTTCCTGAGTAGCTAGGATTACAGGCATGAGCCATTGGCACTCAGCTCCATGAGGCTCTTATCTCCAATTAAGTATAAAAAAGCCAGAAGCGGAGCTGTGGCACAAGTGGTAGAATATACTAGCCTTGAGTAAAAAGCTCACAAACAGCACCTAAGCTCAGAGTTCAAGCCCCAAGACCCACACAAGAAAGAAAGACAGAAAGAAAGAAAGAGAGAGAGAGAAAGAAAGAAAGAAAGAAAGAAAGAAGGAGGCTGGGAAGGTAGCTCAGTGGTAGAGCACATGCCTTGCATGCATGAGACCCTAGGTTCAATTCCTCAGCACCACATAAGCAAAAAGAAAAAAGCCGGAAGTGGCACTGTGGCTCAAGTGGTAGAGCACTAGCCTTGAGCTGAAGAGCTCAGGCCCCACGACCGGACCCAAAAAAAAAAAAAGAAAGAAAGAAAGAGAGAAAGGAAGGAAGGAAGGAAGAAAGGAAAGAAGGAAGGAAGGAAAGAAAGGGAAGGAAGAAAAGGAAGGAAGGAAGGAAGGAAGAAGGGAGGGAGGGAGAGGAGGGAAGGAAGGAGAAGAGAAGAAACTAAATCTTCAAAGAATCAACCATGCAATTAATAAATGGCTAGAAGAGCTAAACACAGACTTCTCAAAAGAAGAAGTAGAATGACCAATAGACACATGAAGAAATGTTCAACATCTCTGGCCATAAAGGAAATGCAAATCAAAACAACATTGAGATTTCACCTCACCCCAGTTAGAATGGTCATTATCAAGAATACAAGAATACAACAGATGCTGGCATGAATGTGGTCAAAAGAGGAACCCTAAAACACTGTTGGTGGGAAAGTAAACAAGTACTAGCACTCTGGCAAGCAGTGTGGAGATTCCTCAAAAACTAAACATAGGGCTGGGAAGGTGGCTCAGTGGTAGAGTGCTTGCCTTGCATGCATGAAGCCCTGGGTTGGATTTCTCAGTACCACATAAGCAGAAAAAGCAGGAAGTGACACTGTGGCTCAACTGGTAGAGCGCTTGCCTTTAGTTGAAGAGCTGAGGGACAGCGCCCAGGCCCAGAGTTCAGGCCTCACAACTGACCAAAATTAAAAAAAAAAAAAACTAAACAAAGAACTACCTTATGATCCAGCAATTCCACTCCTGGGCATTTATCCAACAGATGACAAACTAGGATCTCGTAAGGCCACCAGCACAACCATGTTCATTGAAATACTATTCACCATAGCCAAAATATGGACTCAGACCAGATGCCCCTTAATGGATGAATGGATCAAGAAAATGTGGTACACACAATGGAATTTTTATACATACACTAGAAAGAATGATACTGCATCATTTGCAAAGAAATGAAGGACCTGGGAAAAATCATGTTAAGTAAAGTAAGTCAGGCCCAGAAAGACAAAGAATGTATATTTTACCTCATATGTAGAAGATAGAATTAATCTGTAAGTATATCATATACACTCCAGGGTGGTATCCAAATACACAAAAGTGTATTAACTGAAATAAGATAAATTCAGAGGGAGAACTCAAACAATGTAACTCCTTAGAAAGTCTTACAGTACAACAAAATATACAACAGGAAATAGGTACTCAAAAGTGTAGGGTGGGATTTAAGGAGCAATGGAGAGGAGGGAGATGAATGAAGACAGGAAGGGGGAAATGCAGTCATGGAATTCAATGTATATGCTTCAATTTTTTTTAAATGAGAGGAGGGGTGGGGTTGGGAGAGATGATGAAAGGGGTGATAGTAATCAAGATTCGCCATATTCATATTTTATTTTGTTGAATGGCAACTCCTTTATACTATTTAAAAAACAATTCTATTGTTATTAAGGTGTTGAACAGAGGGGCTGCTATTTCATAAGTCAGGTCATGAGTACATTTGTTTGACAATGTACCCCTTCATTTACTTTCCCCCTTCATCCCTGCCTACAAATTACATAGGTCGTTTTGCACATACTGAATAGCATGATTGCATTTGTTCACTCCCTTCCTTTCTGCACCCATTCTTTACTCCTCCAGAAGGAAAAAAAAAGAACTAAAACAAAAGCAAATATCATCATTGGACTAAAGACAAAAATAAAATGTTAAAGTCAAGTCCAATGGCCCACACCTGTAATCCTACTCAAGAGGCTGAGATCTGAGGTCACAGTTCAAAGCCAGTCCCTGCAGGAAAGTCTATGAGGCTCTTATCTCCAATTAAGCATTTAAAAAAGCCAGAAGTAGAACTGTGGCTTAAGCAGTAGAGTGCTAGCCTTGGGGGGAGGGGAGGAAGCTCTGGACAGGCCCCAGGCCCTTCGTTCAAGCCCAAGAACTAGCACCAAAAAATGATGAATTAAAATAAAATGTTAAAGAAATGGAGAATAAATTGCATATATAATAATTATGAGATAGGTAGACTTGACATTGAAACAAACTATAAAAATGATGTATGCATTTTTTGGGGGGGGTCTGGTCGTGGGGCCTGAACTCTGGGCCTGGGCGCTGTCCCTCAGCTCTTCAGCTCAAGGCTAGAGCTCTACCACTTGAGCCACAGTGCCACTTCCGGCTTTTTCTTTTTGCTTATGTGGTGCTGAGGAATCGAACCCAGGGCCTCATACATGCAAGGCAAGCGCTCTACCACTGAGCCACCTTCCCAGCCCTTAAATGATCTCTTAAGGGAGATCAAGGAGATTCATGGACTCCTCTTGCAGGACATTGGTAAGATCCTTCCCCATGCTCAAGTAACTTCCCCTTCCTGCAAGTGGCCCTGGGTTTGCCCTGATACAAATCTGCAGATTTGTATCAGGGCAAACTGGAACTTCTCCCATAAAGTGCCCACGGAGGTTAATGGACACCATGCATGGCTATGTTTTTGTTTAAAAAAATCAACTGAGGTCTTCATGGGATGCTCAGCAACTTGATTCCTAGGAACTGGATGATGAACTAACCACACAGAAGCTCTACTGCTGCTGAAACCATTCATTTATTAAAGCTAGTAACATCCAATCTACCCCTAATACCATCCAGGGACCAAACTAAAAACTTGCTTCTGGGTTAATGAAGAAAAGATACACAGCCCTGGAAACACACCCTCATCTTGATAGCACTTGCAGTCTGAATAGCATGGGAAGAAGGGCCATAGACATTAAATTTAAAACCTGAGTAGGCGTTAAGTGATGGAAAATGCTGTAGATAAAGAAACCCTGGACATACAGCATAAGGGGGACTTCAAACTAATGAGAGACTGTCACTTTAAATTATCTTGGCCCTTATGCCTCTCCAGTTAGTTGCTTCGCCTCTGCAGGTGTATGATCAAAGGCCAAAGTTGGTACTACCAGCACAGAATTCACTATGACCCTGGAAACAAAGTGATTTACCTTAATGGCAGGTTTTTTTTCTTTTTTATAATGAAGAGCAACTTTAAGATATTTCTGATTGACAATGTACTTCCCTTAAGGTGGCTCAGGGTCCCAAGGGAATGATCTAGGGTGTTTCCGAGAACAATTGTAGCTACATTTCTTTCAGACTTCATTAACCCAAAGTCCTACATGTCCCTAGAAGAAAAAGTGAATACAGAATATGAAAGGTGTGGTTTCTATCCCATGTGCACTGGGGTCATGGAAATTGCTCTCCAAGAGAAGCCAGGGTGAGCACTCTCCACTACCAGCACGTTGACAAGGTCATGGACTTGAGGTTGGTATCCAGCAGGAACTTCCAGAGAATCCAAGGTGTAAAAGATACTGTTGTCCACCACCCCATCTCTTCCATATACACAGGTAATGACGACCTGTGATAAGAGATGATGAGATTTAATGTGGGAAAACATCGTCTAACTCAACAGGCTCTGTACATCCTGACTCCTGCTCTAACCTCTATGGCACACTACCTAATTACAAATTCCCAGCCTGTCAGGCACAATGGCAATACTGGGAGCGTTTTGACAATATCCCTTCACCCACATCCCACCTCACACCCATTATGGCAGAATCTCTGGGGCTCTGCTGGGAAACTCTATTCTAATATATTACCCACCATGGCTACTAACTATAGGCGAGATTGAAAACTTGAAAGAAATTGAATAAGAAAGGAATTCATAAAGTAAGTATAAACTCTCACTTTTCTCTAATTCTATCAGCTCATTCCTTCAGTTTTTCTTTTCAACAAAATTTAGGTTACCAACTCACATTCACTTTCAACTGTCCAAACCATATCCAGTGGTTATAGGTAAACCCTCTCATTCTTTCCCAACAGTTAATTGAGCCTGATCATTTTGCTGATTTAATGCATATCCTATGGAACTAGGAAAATGGAGAATAGGGATAGGATTGGGAGGGATGGAGGAGAATGATGAAATGGATGACATCAAAATGCACTGTACTGAAAATTGATTTGTTGAATGGTAACCCCTTTATAAAATTAAAGATAATGAAAATATGCTAAAAATAAAACATTTACTACCTCCCAAATCAACTATGAAACTTTGGTCTTAATGATAAGTAGAATATACATTAGACTTCAAGTATTTCCTTTCAATTTTTCAATTATTATTATTTTTTTAATCAGTCATAGGGCCTGAACTCTGAGCCCGGGCACTGTCCCTCAGCTCTTCAGCTAAAGGCTAGCGTTCTAACACTTGAGCTACAGTGCCACTTCCTGCTTTTTCTGCTTATGTGGTGCTGAGGAATTGAACCCAGGGCCTCATGCATGCAAGGCAAGCACTCTACCACTGAGCCACCTTCCCAGCCCCTGCTTTCAATCTTTTAATGAGAGAATAGGCTTCCTTTTGGTGACATATCCCTTTTATATTAGATGTCCCAACACATCCGGTAGAATCCTAGCAACAGAAATTATCACCATAGGAAGGATAAGAAGAGACAAAGGACCAGTACTTTTTTGCACAGGAAATACCTCATACACATGCTTGTGTCTCAGAGGCTTCACAGACACAGCCTGCCTGCGCTGCATTTCTGCCTGGAAGGAAAACACAACCTCCAGCAGGTCACCCTCGTAAGGCTCAAAATCTAAAACAGCCAAAGAGAGAAATCCAGTTAGAATAGATGAATTACTTGCGGTAAGGCCACATTTCACAAGTTGCTCTGTCATTCCTAAAAACAGTTTCTATTACATCTAATGTCCATCTTGAACCTTTAAAGGCCATTAGCCTACTTCAGATGTTGATTCTCCTCCACTAATTTCACAAATTCATGTGAGATAAAGTGCTTTAAGCCAGTCCTTCTGTGGGCATTGCATTATTAGGCAGAGCTGAAATATCTTTGCCAGAAACTGAGTACACTGTTATAAATTCAGTGCTGAAATCTGATGCTGGAGCTAAAAACCATTTGTTTTGGCTATGCTAATACAAATACAAAGTTGGCCAACAAAGCATCATAGTGAACATGCATTCTTGGAAAATCAGAAACTGACAGAACCAAAATGTACTTGGCATTGCTTTTGTTGAAAACATCATCAATAACTGCATGCAAAAATGCTGTGATATTCTCACAATGTAAACTGAACATCTAATAATCATTTCCAAGATATGAATATGTATATATAGATACAAATTAACAGAAGTCCAGAACATGGGGGACTGAATGCAAAAAACACTGAGACCAGAGCTTGGAAGGTGGCTCAGTGGTAGAGTGCTTGCCTTGCATGCATGATGCCCTGGGTTCGATTCCTCAGCACCACATAAGCAGAAAAAAAAAGCTGGAAGTGGCACTGTGGCTCAAGTGGTAGAGTGTTAGCCTTGAGCTGAAGAGCTGAGGGACAGCGCCCAGGCCCAGAGTTCAGGCCCCACAACCGGATCCACAAAAAATAAATAAATAAATAAAAATTTAAAAAAAAACACTGAGACCAACAGGGACACCCTAGTTTTCTTTTTATGCTGTTCTAGAATATGAGCTTCCCAACAGGCTTGGTTCTCTGAAGGGCTACTGTGTGAACCAATCCAATTGGGCAGTTCTTTTTTTTTTTAATGAGTTTTAAGATTGGGCTGAAGTTAGAAAAATCAGTAAAAATCAGTTAGGAATCTTTTTTTTTCTTGTTTTGCTGATTGAATCCAGTGCTCTGAGCATGCCATCTAGCTACATCTCCAGACCATCAATTGGAAATGTTTATTTTAAAAAGTCAACAGGTAGCTGGGTGACAGTGGCTCAGGTCTTTAATCCTTGCTATTCAGCAGGCTGAGATATGAAGATCACAGTTCAAAGCCAGCCCAGGCAAGAAAATCCATGAGAATGTTATCTCCAATTAACTACCAAAACCCAGAAGTAGAGCTGTGACTAAAGTGGTAGATCACTAGCCTTGAGAAAAAAAAAATCAAGGACAATACATAGGCACTGAGTTCAAGCCCCAGTACTGGCAAAAAATCATCATCATCATCATCATCATCATCATCATCATCATCAGGTATACCAGTAAAATTCAATTTTGAAACTTGTAGAGAATTTCAATTCTTGTTGAAATTTGCAAATAAAATGATGCAATGAAACTAGATGATGGAGCTGGGCACTGGGGGCTCATGCCCGTAATCCTAGCTACTCAGGAGGCTGAGATCTGAGGATCACAGTTCAAAGCTAGCCCAGACAGAAAAGTCCATGAGACTCTTTTTTGTTGTTGTTGGTCATGGGTCTTGAACTCTGGGCCTGGGTGCTGTCCCTGAGCTGTTCAGCTCAAGGCTAGTGCTCTACCACTTGAGCCAGAGCTCCACTTCTGGTTTTCTGAGTAGTTTATTGGAGATGAGTTTCTTGAAAGTTACTGCCCAGGCTGGCTTTGATCCACGATCTTCAGATCTCAGCCTCCTGAGTAGCTAGGATTACAGGCATGAGCCACCGGCACCCCACTTCCATCAGACTCTTTTTTGTTTGTTTGTTTTGTTTTTTGTCCAGTCGTGGGGCCTGAACTCTGGCACTCTTATCTCCACTTAACCACCAAAAAACCAGAAGTGGCACTGTGACTCAAGTGGTAGAAACTGAGTGATGGTCTGTAGAGACAGCTCACTGTGGCAAGGGTCTTTTCTCTGTGTGTTCCAGTCAAAGAGGGGCTTGAAAGCAGGGTCTTGGTGCTATCCCTTAGCTATTTAAGCTCAAGGCCTGCACTATATCACTTAAGCCACAGTTCTACTACCAGCTTTTTTATCTGGTGATTTCATTTCCAAACTAACTTCAAACCACAATCTTCAAATCTCAACCTCCTGAATAGCTATCATTACAGGCATGAGCCACTGGCACCCTGTGTAGCTAGAGTCTAATAATTAGTACTGGCTCACCAAACTGCAGTCACTTTGTCCTATAGTTACTAGAACATGTCAATAGTTTCTTCATAGTTTGCCTCACCTTTTCCCTAGCTTGGAATATTTTCTCTGGCTGGCTTTTCTTACCCTTCACATCTCAGCTCAACTGTCACCGCTTCAGAGCAGTGTTCCCTGATCTGTTCTCTATAGTAAACCCTACACCAACCCCAATTTTACAATCACAGTACCTTGCTACCTTTGAAGAACAGATTTTTTTCATTGGATAGGGAATCATTCTTGCTGTCTTTAACCACCACATTAGGATGAAAGTGTTACGAAAACAATACTTTAGAAGAAGGGATAGTGGTAAATATGTATAAATGTATAACTCAGTCATATCTTTGGTATTATTGACATGTTCAGCACTGTTCATCTTGACAATGTTTCTAGCAAGGCTACCATTGCTGGTCACTTCCTGTTGGCATGGTAACAAGATACCAAGAAACTGCCACTGGACCTTAGCACTCACGTGGATCTTTCCTCACAGAATTGAGAATTTAAGAGCAAACAGATCATAAAATTCTAGCTATGATCAGATAATTATCTTTGGGGTCTGTCTGGGATACCAACTAAAATCAACTTCTGACTTTCACATCTAAGAACAGTATAACTGGAAATACAATTGTGTGACTGAAAAATGTCCTATTTTGTATCCAAGGTAGATGGTAGTTGATTAGACATAAGCAGGTACATTTTATTCTTGCTTCCAATTTAACTTTCCAAATCCAGCCTAGCCGGGGATGGCAGGAGCATGGAGTCCAGATGAAGCAGTTCCTAGCCTAAGCAACCTTCCTCAGTGTATAACAGTGTTCTCCCTGCTCTGCTTAGTAACATCATTCGCATCATGTCATGCTAAGGCATTCCCATGCCCATCACCAAAGAAAAATGGTAAGTACCCCACAGGCAAAATTCTTCAATCTCTCCACCCCTCATGGTCAGACCTCTATCACACTGAACCAAACTCAAATGCCATTTTTATATTAGTAAATTCTTTCCTTTTTAGTAGATCATGGGGCTTGATCTCAGAGCCTAGGCACTGTTCCTGAGCTCTTTTGCTCAAGGGTAGTGCTCTACCATTTTGAGCCACACCTCCACTTCTGGTTTTCTGGTGGTTACTTGGAAAGAAGAGTTTCACAGGTGTTCTTTCCTGGGCTGGCTCAGATCTCACCCTCCTGAGTATCTAAGATTATAGGCATGAGCCACCAGCACCCAGCAACAAACTAATTCTTTAGGAAGGAAAAATGAAACATTATATCTACTATTAGCAAAAACAGTTCAACAACAGATACACAAGCACAGACACATTGAAACAAGGGTATCTTCAAACTATATATTAAAGCATTTTCAGTATAAATATTATCCTGGCAAACTTGTAATATTGTTAGTTACATTAGAAATCTGATACAAAAGTTTCACAAATAATAGTAACTTCCTGAAATAAATGCCAGTATAACAAACGATACCATGAGTTATTTTTTTTGTTTGCTTTGTGTTTTTTTTTGTCAGTTGTGGAGCTTGAACTTAGGGCCTGGGCACTGTCCCTGAACCTCTTTGTGCTCAAGGTTAGTGCCCTACCACTGAGTCACGGTGCCACTTCAGTTTTCGAGTGCTTAGTTGGAGGTAAGTCTCACAGAGATTTTTCTGCCCAGGCTGGCTTTGAACCATGATCCTCAGATCTCAGCCTCGTGAGTAGCTGGTTAATGCCTGTTACTCAGGAGGCTGAAATCTGGGGGACTGCCATTTTGAGGCCAGCCTCAGCACAAAAATCTGAGAGATTTCATCTCCAAAATAACCAGAGAAAGAACTAGGCTGCAGGCATGCCTCTAGTAGTGTGTGAGCCAAGCAAAACCAAATGAATGGAAGGACCTATGTTCAAACACCAGTATATCCAAAAATTAAAATAAAAAAATACTATGTATTTGTTCCTAATTGTCATACTCCAAAATGTCCATATCCAAACATTCAAGGGTGCTTGATGAAAACCAAATATATCAGAAACTTAGTTCAAGTATTAAAATCATCTCATCAAATAAGTATACACCCTGGAGAAGATGCCCCTAACTACCTCCAAATCTAACTGATAATATTTAGAAGTTACATAAGACCTAATTTCAAATTTCACAAAATGTAAACTTACCTTTACAAACAACATCCAGAGAGAAACAAGTTGTGTGCTTAATATACTTATCAACACCCACTCCAGAAGTAACAGACCCAAAGGTAAGATTGGATGCTGATGGTCCATCACAATAATCTTCACAGACAGCATCCACCTATGAGTTAGAGAAAGACTTGCTTCAAACATGACACAGGTTATAAAAATAAGCTGAGATCGTTGAGGATGAAAAAATAGTTTAAACAAATATAAACATTGGAGAGTATATTTCTCAATATTTAAAAATTCCAATAGTTATACAGGCATGATTCTTGTAATGGTTGTAAGGGAAGACAACAAAATGATTTCTCAAATGACACAGAAAACTAAACTTACAGGAATAGCTACAAAAATCCCCCAAACTAGCCAGGCATTGGTGGTTCAGGCTTATAATCTCAAGTACTTAGCAAGCTGAGATCTAAGGATCATGGTTCAAAGCCAGCCTGGGAAGGAAATATCCTGAGACTCCTATTTCCAATCAAGCATCAAAAACTAAAAACTGGAAGTGGAACTGTGGATCAAGTGATAGAGTGCTAACCTTGAGAACAAAGCTCAGGGACAGTGCCCAAGCCCTGAGTTCAAGATCCAGGAAGGACACCAAAACAAAACAAACAAACAAACGACCAAACTGCTGGGCACTGGTAGCTCACACTTGTAATCCTAGCTACTCAGGATGCTTAGATCTGAGTGTTACAGTTCAAAGTCAGCCTTAGCAGGAAAGTCCATGAGATTTGTGGGGGGGGGGAGGGGGTCCAGTCGTGGGCCTGAACTCTGGGCCTGGGCACTGTCCCTCAGCTCTTCACCTCAAGGCTAGTGCTCTACCACTTGAGCCACAGTGCCACTTCTGGCTTATTTTTTCTGCTTATGTGGTGCTGAGGAATCGAACCCAAGGCTTCATGCATGCAAGGCAAGTGCTCTACCACTAAGCCACCTTCCCAGCCCTCCATGAGACTCTTACCTCCAATTAACCACTGAAAAAAAATCTGGAAGGGGAACTACGGCTTAAGTGGTAGAATGCTAGACTTGAGCAAAAAATTTCAAGGAGAGTCTCTAGGCCCTGAGTTCAAGCCCTAGGACCAACACACAAAAGAAAACCCAAAATACGTGGGTTCTGATGACTTATGCCTGTAATCCTAGCTACTAAGAGAATGAAATCTGAGGATCCTGGTTCAAAGCCAGTACAAGCAGGATAAGTCCTTGAGACTATCCCCAATTAGCCATCAAAAAGCCAGAAGTGGAGCTGTGGCTCAAGTAGTAGAACATGAGTCTTCAGCAAAAGACCTCAAGGACATCACTCAAGCCCTGAGGTCAAGCTCCAGAGCCACCACTCTCTCTCCCTCTCCCTCTCCCTCTCCCTCCCTCCCTCTCTCTCTTTTTCTCTCTCTCTCTCTCCAAAACATAAATAAAAATTATAGCAGGAAAACCAAGCTAGCAAATGATAAAATATGCTATAATGTTTCAGAAATGCAAACCACTTGGTCATAACTAAGGATAATTAAGTGGGTATGTTAGATTTTCCCCATGAGGTTGTGTTCAATGGCATGAGGGGCATTTGAACTTGGTAAAGGAAAGGTGAATCCTTACATTCAGCATATACATGGGGGCAGAAAGTCATTCACAAAAGTCTGCATCCTTCTCTCCCTTGCTACACTTAAACCAATGCCAGATAGACTATTCAAATGTAAACAACTTTCACAGGACTAATCTGTGATAAATATGTGAGGGGTAAATTGTGACTGCCGCTAAAAGTCAATGTTTAAGGGTAAACTTGGGAGATAAGCCCACCATAAAGGTCCTGAAACTCCAATTTACCTAACATGCAAATACTTCTAATATCCGCGGCAAGTAATTCTGAGAAGTTGCTCTATTTTCCCCAAACTGATAAGGAAATACAAGTAAAAATTATTCCTTAGATGGTCAAAATTTTCAGAGATTGATAGTATACAAACTGTCCCATCCGGCTGCTTACAGTGTCAGTACTGTGACAATAGTAAAGCTGGACACAAGAGGCTCATGCCTGATATCAGGAGGCCAAGCTCCAGAGGACCTTGGTTCAAAGCCAGCCTGGGAAGAAAAGTCCTCAGACTCTGTCTCCAATTAACCAGCAAAAAGCTGGGCTGATGGCCTGTCAATCACATTTCTACAAATACAAAGATCCATTACATGTGAGGGGAAAATAAGGAAATTACAGGAAAATATATACACTGATTTATTACTAATCATGTTTTAAATAAGAAGAACAGATAAGATATATAATTGACACTTTTGCTAAATAGACAGCACCAGTAAAATGAAAGCAGATGTCTCCTGCATTCATGTTAGTTGAGAATGAAATCCCATTCTCCCTCCATTCCCTCAGGTCTCTTCAGAGAGGCTGGAGAAATAGCATCAATGCTGACTTCACAAAACCACAGATCATCTCGACCTCACAGAAATCTTACTTTGATTGTTTTCCATCCACGGCCTGTTTCATCTTCCTCCACTAAGGCAAAAACTTTTTGTCCAATGTGCAAAGGGACATTGCCAGTCACATCTTCCTTACTGAAGAAAATGGACTCATCAATCCAGCCATGGTCATTAAAGACTCTTGTCACAACTCCTTTCACAGCTTTTACCTTGATGGTCTCTGCAATGTAAACACATAGGAACATGAGTTAATGCATGCATGCACTACTAATAAGCCCTACCAGAGAGCTGGGAATGTGGCTTAGTGGTAGAGTGTTTGCCTAGCATGCATGAAGCCCTGGGATGAATTCTTCAGTACCACATAAACAGAAAAGGCCAGAAGTGGCACTGTGGCTCAAGTGGTAGAGTGCTAGCCTTGAGCAAAATAAGCTCAGGGACAGTGCCTAGGCCCTGAGTTAAGCACAGTGGCTTCAGACCAAAAGCATTTGAGTGCAGAAGCTAAGAGCAGAGTTTGGGACCCAACTGCTTGCCCTTGAACTGCAGCTCCTCCCCTCATCTTCTGTAGAATAAGCATTTTTGTTAACATTTGCAACTGGTACCCATCTATATAATCAGGATATTGCCAACACTGTCCTTACTGAGGATAGAGTTCCATGGTACACTGTTTGCCTACCAAGCACAATGCTCTGGTTTCTACTTCAGCACCATAAAGAGAAAGGAAAAACAATGCAAAAAGAAAAACTCAAACTATATTGTCTGCCTCTTATGCTGGTTATAAATATTAAGTAACATGTGCATATATGTGCGTTGCAAATATCAGGTTCTCCTTTAATTCAGAGAAGCCATAGGAAGAGATTGCCAGGCCTGATGAGGTCATGGGAGGTCATGCTTTGATCACAGGTTCTCCTGTTTATAGACTCAGCAAGACACAGTTTACAGGCTTGTCCTCCAGGGCAGCATCATTTATTTGAGCACATTGGCAGCACACTGTCCAGCAGTGGTATACAGGATATGTACTGTGTGTACTGTGTGACGATTTCTTGGAAGGAGGTCTAGGCCCCAGACCCATATATATCATGGCAAAGTACACATGGCACAACAAACATGCAAACTGCTTAAAACTGTGAAGGCCACCCACAGTTTAGAACCTTTGTTGCTTCCCTATCTGCATTTAGAAATCCAGAAAATCCATTATTCTTATGCAATTTCATCATTATCAACAACAGCATCCAGTATAGCATCTGGAGATTTTTAAACACTGGCCAGACAAAGCACATAGACAGGTGCAAAATATAAGGTCTAGCTCAAATATGCCCCTACTCTCTTTGCCTTTGTTTCTTTCCTGACTGAATACTTAGGTGTTTTAAAGTGGTTGTTGTATTTTCTTTTTACCTGCTTGAAGCTTGAACTCAGGACTGGAATGCTGTCCCTGAGATTTTTTTTGCTCAAGGTTAGCGCTCCACCACTCCAGCCACAGAACAACTTCCAGTTTCTTCAAAGTTTGTTGGAGATAAGAATCTCACACACTTTCCTGCCTAGGCTTTCAACTGTGATCCTCAGATCTCAGCCTCCTGAGTATCTAGGATTATACACAACTGGTACAGAGCTGAATTTTTTTTTCTGCAGTTAGAAATGGGACCCAAGACCTTTACATGCTAGGAAAACACCATTACCTACACACTCACCAGCCCTTGGGTGTACTTCTTTTGTTGTTAAGGTTTTGTGTTTGTGTCTGCATATGTATGTGTGGCACTGTTAGAACTCAAGTCCTTAGGCTTGCTAGGCAGGTACTCTATCACTGAGACACCTCAGTAGGTTTTGACTGAACATAGTTATTACACCACAGTTTGCAATCTGAGCCAGTATCCTTTTTAGCACCTGCAGTGGACCACAGTACCTCTGATACCTTTCCAGGGACTTGGGTTCATAGACCCGATGGCTGAAAAGAAGCATCAGTAAGACAGATTATAGAATCAGAAGCCAAAAGCCAGGCGCTGGTGGCTCACGCCTATAATCCTAGCTACTCAGGAGGCTGAGTTCTGAGGATTATGGTTCAAAGCCAGCCAGGGCAGGAAAGTCTGTGAGACTTCTTTTTAGTCAGTAGTGGGGCTTAAACTCTGGGCGTGAACACTGTCCCTCAGCTCTTCATCTCAAGGCTAGCACTCTACCACTTGAGCTACAGCACCACTTCTGGTTTTCTGGTGGTTTACTGGAGATAAGAGTATCATGGAGTTTCTTGCCCGGGCTGGCTTTGGACCATGATCCTCAGATCTCGGCTTCCTGAGTAGCTAGGATTATAGGCGTGAGCCACCAGTGCCTGTCACCTGTGAGACTCTTATCTCCAATAAAACACTCAGAAAACTGGAAGTGGCACAGTGGGTCAAGTGGTAGAGCGCTAGCTTTGAGCTGAAGAACTGAGGGACAGCGTTCAGGCCCAGAGTTCAAGCCCCATGACCACCAAAAAAAAAGAGAGAGAGAGAATCAGAAGCCAAGGAAATAGTTGCTGCTTGAAAAGATGTGTCAAATTTATTAGCAAAAAGGATTGGGGTATATCCAACAACAGTGCCAACCTAGCAAAGGCAAATCCCTAAGTTTCAAACCCAGAACTATGTGAAAAATAAAAAGATGCCACTATATAGGTACTCAGTGCCAGACTTAGGCTTTTAGAGTACAAAGGTGAACAAGTTTGGAGAGTACATATCCCTGATCAGCTAATGTGCTGGTTTTATCCTCAATTCAGTAGAGTACAGAGGTAGGACTTTTGGAAGAACATTGCATAATTTGGTTCTAATTTCAATAATGACTAATAATGATTATCCTATTCAGGGGTCTGAAGATTACTAGATTTAGGAGGAAGGAGCTGTTTATACAAGGAATTTTTCTCTGAACTTCCTGGCTGCCATGAAGTGAACAGGTTCTAACACATGTTTCCCACTACAAGTGAAGGTCAATTGTCTCTGTGTAAACCTTCAGATCTCACAAGCCAAACTCCATAGGAAATGTACTCATTACTTTATGTAACTGTAATCCCTCTGTATAGTATTTTACAATAAAAACATAAATATGTGTGTGTGTGTGTGTGTGTGTATATATATATATATATATATATATATATATATATATATATATAAAGAACTTACAAGCCAAGATAAATCCTCCTTCTTTGCAGTTGATTGATCTCAGGTATTTTGTCATAGTGACAGAAAAAAAGCTGTCACAAGTAAATATACATGCATGCCCCCAAGAAAGAAAATAAAGCTTGCCCTCATATATTCAGACCAATACGACTGTAAATATAAAAGAAATCTTTGCCTGCAAGTCTTTGACACAGGAATCTACCTGCAGTCGTGGCTTCCTAATAAAGACTCCCAATTTGACCTCTCAAAAAAAAATCTTTCTATAATCATTGCATTTAGGAGGCTGAGGTAGATGATCATGAGTGTGATGCTGCCATGGACTACAAGTGGATATACCCTGTCTAAAAAGAATGTTAATGCCAGGCGCCAGTGGCTCACTCCCATAATCCTAGCTACTCAGGACACTGAGATCTGAGTATCACAGTTCAAAGCCAGCCAGTGAAAGGAATTTTTCCTACTCTTATTTCTAACTAACCAAAAAAAGCTGGAAATGGAGCCTGTGGCTCAAATGTTAAGAGTGGTAACCTTGAGCCAAAAATATCAGGGACAGCACCCTGGCCCAGAATTCAAGCCTCAGGATTGCACAAATAAAAGAAATCCTAGAAGACTAATTATGATCAAGAAATATTCTATACATAAATGGGCTTGTTAAAATGGGGGTGGGGGAGAAACCAGGAATCATGCCCATTCACTTGGCATCTATGGGAAAAATGTTCAAAGGTACCTGGAGAAGTTGGGGGAGGGGAAAGACAGCTTCTGAAGAAACTACATTTTCCTTTTTTTTTTTTGAGAATGTCTTATACAACCCAAGCCAGCCACTAATTCAAGATCTTCCTGCCTCTACTTCCCAAGTGCAGGACCTACTCATATTCACCATAATATGCTGCACAAAGACTTTTCCTCACTGCATTAATACCACTTTGAAATAGAGAGTCAGGGTTGTGGGTAGATGTAAATTGGTCCAGCACTTCAGACACAGGAGTGGGGGCGTGTTGTTGTATTGTTGCGAGATGAGAGTCGTGGGAGAGGCAGTGGGAAATCCGGGTAGCGAATGCGGATGAATTGAATGAGGGACATCTGAACATGGAGGTTGAGAAAGTAGTAGGCCGGAGTGAGGATGGGGGACAAAGAGGCAGGAATGGCGTTATTTGGGTTGGAGGCAACTGTGGGAGATGAAGGGCGGACTCAAGAAGTCGGAGATGCTAACGTTTTAAGATGGCGTCCCTCTGGGTGCTGAGAGGCCTACACAGTCCCCGAAGCCCCAGACCGGCCTCAATGGGCCAGTCCCTCGGTGAGGAAAAACATGAGGTGAAACGTGAGGTACCTTCCAGGAGACACTTGTTCTGCTCCTTCTCATCCTCGGACACGGTCCGCTTTCCAAAGAAACTGAGAGCTTTGGACAAAAACCGATGCATGTTCCTGTGGTGGGTGAGGCCTGAGCCCCAACAGCCTCTGATGTAAGAGAAGCTTCTGTCGGTCTCTGCCTCCTGTGAGCTAACGAACGAGCGGAAAAGCGCCGTGGTTCAGCCAATGGGGTGCGTTTTTATCATTGATGACCAATGAGAACCATCCGGTGAGTAGGCGGGACTTCACAAGTCTTGCTGCCACGTGGCAGGCTGTGAGGGGAGGTGGGGTTGGAAGGCCAGCTTCAAATTCCCACCAATTGGATCTTGCTGTACATTTTCTACCTATAGGTTCTGCTCTGTGGGACTTTTCTGGAAGGCCAGCGCCTGACTCACAAAATACAGCAGCAAACTGCCTTGAGTATGTAGACGGGCTCCAAGGCCTAGCTCCAAGATTGCCATCTTCCATGTCTCAGTGCCTCTATATCCTTTTCTTTTTCCTCATACACCAGTCTTATGTCCCACACCCACTCCATCCTGGCATCTCTAAGCAAGGGCTCTGTTCAGTGTTAAATGTTAACATAGATGACATAGAAAAACCAAACTTTCACATTTAATTGGACCTCAAAACACAAGCTGGCTACCAGAGCTGCTTATGAGCTGGGGCTATAGTACAACACAGCAACCACAGTAGTTCTGAGAGATGATTTCGATGTGAGTAAGAAATCTGTCAAGGATGGCCAGTGATGCACCACTACGTGGGGT